TTCCCAAAATAGTTCCATGAAATCAGCGCTAACGGTTGGTCAAGTTTGGTAGTCTTTTACAGGTTTCCCTGCATGGCCCATAGTCTGTGGGCAGGAGGCTGGTAAGCAGGCTCCTCCAAACTTACTTGGAGAGGGGAGTTTGTCAAAATATGTATAGCGGTAGTTTATATATATATATATGCACATTGGGGGGCGGGCATGCAGAGTATTACCAGTGCAGAGATGAGGATTCCAGGCCCCATGCGTATAGCAGCCAAGAAATCAAGATTACCCCCATCATGGAATGCCATTTGCAAAAGTAGACAACACAGGTTTTCAAAAAGGGTTATGTCAAGTCTTTTTAAGTAGCCACTTGATCAAAAACATTGGCCAAATTTAGCGTTGTTAAAAATTTTCACACAAAAACAGCCTTTTCACTTCCTCCCTGCTTCACAGAGAGCTACGCGGTAGGAATCGAGGAAGGAGAAGGCTGGAGGCAGCAGCTGTAAATGCAGCATAGAGGCAGAGGAGAAGCTGGAGTGAGCTGCTGTATGCTCACTCCCATCAGGCTCATGCAACACCAGGACCCAAAGTAAGCCACCCCCTTAACACAAAAGGCAAGCTAACAGGAGGGTAGCTGCAAATATAAATATTATTTCTTTATGCCGGCAGGAAGCCCATATGTTTTATTTAAATACATTTTCTCTTGGACTGTGACAGCTTCTGTCAGTCCAAGGGAATTCAGGAGGCAGGTGCTGGGGGCTGGTGCGACTGCATTAAGGCTGCTGACGGCCAGAGGGAGCACTGAGTCTCCTTTCCTGATTCCAAGCACCTACCTTAGCACTTGGGCCCCGGCCCAGCATGGAAGCTCTGCCCCCCTGCATGGAAACTTCGCCTTCATTCGGAAGCCCACCTCTGCACGTAAGCTCCGCCTGCCGCACTCAAGCAGCGGACCTTGCTGCAGGAAGAGGCCTGAAAATGACCTCCCAGAGAAAACGTAATCTCCCACACTCTCCAGTGCCAGGTAGGGTTGAAATATTGTGTCTGTAGTGAGTGTGTGTAGTGAGTGTGTGTGTGTCAGTGATCTTGTGTGTAGTAAGCATGTGTGTTTCAATGATCTTGTGTGTCAGTGAGCTGAGGGAGGGGGGGTGATGATGGTGTGAAGGAAGGGAGTATTGATAGAGTGAGGGAGGAGGGTGATGAGGGTGTGAAGGGGGGTATTGATGGTGTGAGAGAGGGGGGTATACCTCATGGGAACCGAAACTTAAAAGTAGTAGGGGCAGCTCCTGTCCTTTGCAACCAGTCCTCTATCCCTAGCTGGGGCTTGTCTTATGAAAAGCAGCGTAAACGTAACCGTACATACCTAACAATAAGATGAGATAGAACCTGAATAGAAAAGCTGGAGGGATGATGTAGATTTAAAGATACCTATCTGAAAAAGAAACAATTATTAACTAATGATAAGTGAAGTACTGGGTTATATCCTAGTGTATATATGTATATATAAATATAGCCTAAATCAAACCTAAGAGAGAGAACTCTTACGGGATAGGAGTCTCCCATGTACACCTAAAAGAAAAAAAGGGGATATGTGTAATAACCATTAATGTATAATTGTAATAACAGAGATTTAAAAAAAAATTTTTTTAAATATGTTGTTTTTTTTTTTTTTTTACCTGATAGGTGTTGGAGTAACTCTACGTGTCTGAAGTTTGTTAAAGGTATTACTTGCCAAAGCTGGAAAACAGATAACACAACAGAAAATGTGTAAGATTTCGTATAGTGGTTCCTAAACGTGGGATGTAATAAGACAAGCCCCTTAACTGAGCTTGATGTGTAAACGTAAAGGCAGGACGAGGCCTTGATGTACCGGTTATGGTTGAATTGCTGTTGCTAAAACGCTTGAAATCCCAATAAGACAATGAGTGAATTCAGCTTTTAAAGAATCACTATAGTGTTAGGAATGTGTATTCCTAATGCTACAGTGTCCTATTCAACGTTTAGGTGACGGCCCCCCTGCAATGGTTAATACTGTGTGTATGTTAGTTAAAGAGCCTTTGAGTGCATGTATAGGTGCTGAAAAAGATGAAAAAGTTTAACTAAAAAAAAAAACATTTCACTTAATCCATGTGATTTCTAGGATATACATATACACGCATGTATTAATAAATGTGTATTATATTAACGTGTTAAATTCCATCTTACATTGCGCAGTAATAATATCAAATATGTAGATTTTCATTTAGAGCTCTTTAAATTTATATCACACTCATCCAGTCTTTACACACACTCACATTCAGCCAGCCACATACACATACAATCACACTCAGCTAACCAATGCATTATCACACACAGTCAGTGAATGCATCCTACTCAAGTGTATTGTTTAAAGGGGAGCAAGGCAGAGCAATGAGAGGGTGCGTTTTGATTCTTACACCGGGATCCTGTGAGTTCTAGTTAAGCCCCTGCTTCATCATAAATTCACAGCCACTACTGCCAGCCATATTAGTACACCCTGACAAACTATGTAGCGTCCACTAACATAAACAGGGTTATGTACTAAAGTGTGAATTGTCCAGAAGTGAATTCAAAGTAAAATGTTAGGCCAAAATGGCCATATTGAAAAATTAAGCTGTCCTTTCATGTTCTGTCTGTTGGCAAAAAATTAGAACTTCACTTTGAATTCATTTTGAATTCATGACAATTCAAACTTTGTTGAAAAGATATATATAATCTCAGATTCTGACTTATATAACTGTACCAGTTTGTAGAATGGCAGCCAGAATTAATAATGGCTTGCAGACACATGTTGGTGATTACATAATTACATTATCAAGCCCTTCCTGATTAATTATATGCATTCGTGTGCACATAGAATTGTTGGTTAATGTAATGTAAATTTACCAGTTTTTGTTGTGAAATAAGTTGAGCAAAATCATGTTAAAGGCCCACTCTACTGCCTAAATACAAAAAAGTATTCAACCACAGTCTGATAGATATTTCCCCATTGAAAACATGCATGCATTTAATTATGCATTTTCCATTGAGGATATATCTAAAAACATCTTCCAAAGGCTGCAGGTCTCTTGCAGGAATCCTTTGCAACCCCCCCCCCTTCTAACTCTGCCCCGACTTTTTGTGGCTGTCCAATCACAGACTTCTTAATGCAGCTCAATAAGAAGTCTTTGACAGAAACTCTGAGCAATTGCCTGTCTCTTGGGTTTAGCTTCATAGAGCTAAACAAACCAGGAAGTAACAGGACCTGTTGTCTGATTGACAATCAGGGGGTGTAACTAAATTAATTTCTAAATGCGCCAATTTCTATTGAAATCTGAATTTTAGCTAAAGTTGCTTAAAAATTTCAGTAACCTGACTTACAACCATAGGTTGAAACAACTATTTTAGTATTTTTGTTTTTCACATTTAAAAATTTTATTTTCAAAAATAGTAAGAGGGATACAGAATATAAAAGAGGGGAAAGGGGAGAGATCGACATGACCAGTACAATGTTTCTTTTGACATTACATAATGCACGTTACGATGTTGGAAATATAACATCAATCTTTTGAGTTTGCATTTGTTCTTCCCTGTGCACAGCCTATCCCGACCCATTGGTCCTTTTAGTTAGACTCTTGCTTGGGGTTTGGCCTGGGTTGTTTCAGTGATATGTGCGGTATACTCTTAGAGCTATGGATGCGTTGGTGTGGTGTGCTTACCTTTTGGGTCTAGTGACCTAACATGGGGAGCCATGGTTTCCACAGTTGTTCTGTCTGACTCGTTTTTATATATGAGTCCGAGATGAGAACCTCGTGTCTATAATATTGATATATTTTGCTCACTAACTCCTTACGAGAAGGGCAGTTGGACTTTTTCCAATTCTGGGCTAGTAGGTGTCTTGCCGCTAATATAATGAGGGAAGCTATTTGTTTTGTTTCCTTTTTCCATTGGGTTGGGAATAGGAGTAGGAGCGCTAGTGATGGTGTAATAGGCGCTGAGTGGTTTAGTGTTTTTTTTTAAATTTGTTGAACGTGTGACCATAGAGGCCTAATCTCCTCACATTCCCACCAGATATGTGTCATATTGCCCTCTTTTGATTTGCATCTCCAACAAACGGAATCTACGGTAGGGTAAATCTGATGGAGTTTTTGTGGAGTGAGGTCTATTTTAGTATTTTAATAAATGTACTTATTATACTGCATAAATCCCTTTTTAACGCCAACTATATGCTCTGATTAATGTTCCTTTTGGCTAGAAATCCCATAGGATTTGCCTTCTGAAAAATGGTTAAAAAAAAATATAAAAATGTTATACCTAGCTATAGCTATAATTGCTATGTAAACAAATATGAGGACAAATATATTCCAAAGGCTAAGTTACAAAGCATTAGGTATATTTTTAAAGAGACTTCATGTAATGGGAGACAAACACGGGCCTGGTATTTATAGGATTGTGAGAAGAAGATATGTGAAGATAAGTCAATTAGCTGATCCTTTGATTCCTTTTAAAATCATCACTGATTATCACTTTTTATTACATAAACTTGATTGCGGTAAGTAACAATGACTGTGCTAGACTCGTTATTTGAAAAATCTGTTCATATTTGTTTCGAGCCAAGGCTAGTGTTTACGCAAGTTAAATTCTAACAAGCACAAACAAAGTATAAAACCAACAGCTGTGACACACAACAGCTAACGCTAACTACCAAACACTCATCAAAAGCAATAGGACAAACAAAGATATGAATCATCTCAACGTGCACTGTTAGTTCTACAGAGAGAATGCTAACAGACATGGTGAAATGTACACCCTCTAGACACATTGCTTTCAGAATAACTAGTTCATGGGTATAGTATAAGGGGATGTCTTCATTGAAAAATAACATCGATTTTGTTGGAATGAATATTTCACTTTCTGTGCTGAGACCTAATCTTCTCCAGGATTGCTGAGACCCACCTTCTTCCAGTCCCTCTTCTGAGCACTTGCCATCTGAGATCCCCCTTACTCCTTTTACTATTAATAAACTACACTATGTCAGAGCAAGCAGCATCCAAGAGTCAAATGTGCTGCACTTTGTATCAGCACTTTGTGCTGTGCAGACACCCTGTAACATTTGTCCTTCCTTCTCACTGCTGCAATACAAGACACAAAGGAAACAAGTTAAAAAGTTAAACGAAAACTGAACAAAATTTCAAAGGGAAGGACTTCTACGTTTCATCCAAATTCTGCAAAAAGATTATCGTTGACTCTGAACTTGTGCTCTAAGGTAAGCATTCTAATGTCATTTGTTAATGGGTGGGTAAAAAGAATTATATAAAAAATAAAAAGTACAATAAAAAATAATTAGTTCACATGCGAAATTAAAAATAAACATAATTATTTATAAGTGCCTGCATACTTAAAGTGAAATCGAAGCCGTGTGCTGCGAAATTCTGCTGTGAAAGCAAAGCAGTCTTCTTGAGTATGAGATGAATATAGACTGAAGCCAAATGCTTTTTGGGTAACGCAAGATCCCTTTCGAATCTTTTACAGGGCTGTCTCCATTACCTTAGACCTTTTAATGTCTTATTCAAGTTTACGTTTTGTCCTTTTCCTATTTTATGTAATGACAAAAAGTTGTGATATTTACAAACCATTTGCTTTTCAATTTTTTGGGTGATTAACCTGAATAACCTGATTTTGTATAAAACAGGCAGGATGCTTCCATAGTCTTCCCACAAAGAGCATGACTAGTAGTGCCATTCTTATTGCATCTCGATATAATAAAATATGGAACATAGATAAAAATATTTTGCCGTCAATGATCCATTAAGATTATGGGACCAGATGATTATGTGAGGTAACTTGAAATCCAATTTAATTTAATTAATACATAATGGTGGGTCAGGAAATAAATTGTTCCTGTAAGAGAGTTTTTGCATAACACAATGTATGATATAAAATATAGCTCCCGCAATACCTATATGTGCCATTTTAGAAACATTCTAAGAAACTATACTAAAATGTATATAATATATTGACGCTTTAGAAATACTAATCATGTTAAGCTCTAGATCTCTAAAGAAGTGAAGCTCCTTGATACTTTATGTAATTTTTCTCAGTGATTTCCAAAAAAAGGATAAAGATGGTTGGATGTTGCATGCCTGTATATAACAAGCATTGTTATCAATCTTAATGTTTCAATAACTTAGTTAACACATTGGATTGGATTTCATATTAATAACAATATAACAGCTGATATGAGCCTTTTTATGGACCTGGCCACACTGTCCACATTCAGGTTGTGTTACATTTATAGCTTCTATCTGGATCTTGGCAGAGCAAGGGTTTTGAATATTGGTCATCCTGTTTGACATTATCCTGTGTACAGACGTTATAAATAAAAAAATTAAAATTTGAATAATCACAAGATCATAATTCATAGATCATAGGTAAACTGAGATGATAGACCCTAAACTACTTGTAAATGATAAAGAAAGATTTAAGAAAATCACATAATAAAATGAATTGATAATTATTACTTACGTATTGACCTTTCTTATCCCATGTTTTAAACCCGAGTAATATGTGTTGGACATGCATTTAATACCTTTACTTCAATATATTGAGTAGATTTGTAAATATTAACTTACACATTACTATAGATCACTCTATAGTGGTATATGGAATTATTATTTTTTTTGATTATTGTAAAGTATTTTAACAAATGAATCTAGAAGAATTGTGTTATTTTTAGAACATAAGGCCTTCAGTTTCAAGTTAATATTTCCTTACAGCACTAAATGATTTTGCTATGTTTATTGATATCTTATTACGTGACCATAATAAATATTGGCATAAGTGCCGGGACGAGCCCATCCCAGCCCCTGGTGACATTTTAAACCACTCAAGTCAGCTATGATGTTGATATTACCAAGTCTCAATTAAAAATACACTCTGTTCTAACTGCACCAACATAATTATTAGGCATGATCAATTTATAGTAGTATTTAACAAACAACTAAAACTAGATGTTTTATTCACACAAGTTGTAAAAAGTTGTGAATTTAAAGTGAATTTTACATTTTAGAGCAAAATAGCTTAAATTGGAACATAGCTGACTTCGAATTTGGAATGTTCTTCCAAATTGGTGATTGTGGCCTAAAACTTTAAAGGAAAACTATAGGGAAATTAAAAAAAAATTATATTGCTAGCTCTAATGCTCCCTGTAGTGGCTACCCTCGCTTCCGCAACCACCTGCAGCGCAAAATTCTTTTGTCATTGGCGCTGGATCATGGTCCGCCTTCGCTCCTCCTTCCCCGACACCGGCCGACGTCGGGAACCTAAAGTACATGCGCGGCGAGCGCTGCAAGTGCATTAGGACAGCCCTATAGGAAAGCATTGTACAATGCTTTCCTATAGAGTTTATGGTGATGTTGGATGTCCTCATGTATAGTGTCCAAAGTGACCAAAAGTCGACTAACAACCTGGAAGTTACTCTAATGGCTGTCTGGTAGACAGCCACTAGAGGTGGAGTTAACCCTGAATGGTAATGTTTGCAGTTTCTCATTAACTGCAATAATTACCCTTGCAGGGTTAAACTGACAGGGACAGTGCACCCAGAGCACTTTAGTTAGCTGAAGTGTTTTGGGTGACTATAGTGTTCCTTTAAACATACTTCAACATCACTTTTGATTTCTGGCAATTCACACTTTAGTGATCGATCCTTTCTTTTTACTGTATTAACTTCTGCCTTCTCAAATACTCACTTCTCCTCCTTCATATTTTAGTCCTCTATGTTCCTGATTGCCTGTAAATCAATTCTTTTAGATATGTCACAAAATGTTTAGTATGTAATGTGAGTTAACACTTTGAAACATAGGCCTTGATTTAATTAGCTTTTCAAATTATTCAATAAAGTTAGAAAAATGTTCCAAATGTCTTATCTACTGAAATCACCGTTAAAGTCTATGGAAACCTTTGTAGCTCAGTCTTTGGAAAAGTTTTTTTCTAACAGAATAATTTAAAAAGCTTATTAAATCAGGGACATAATGCACTATTCTGCTCATTATGGCCACAATTTAATGTTGTTGGATGAGCTTTTAAAATTATTTAATATTTTTAGGATACATTTTTTTTTTTAATTCAGAATACAAAAATATAATTTTTTTTACAATATATAAAATATCTCAAAACATAAAAATATTACAAAATTACAATATTCTTCATAATATTAAATCATTTTAAATGTTTATCCAAAAATAATCTGAATAGTAGTCATTTTAGGCCAATTTTTAGATGGACCCCCCTAGCCTGCCTTTCTAAAAGCATAGTACCTTATATTTTGAGCTATATACAGAACACGTAACACATAATAATATAGAAACTGTGCATTTGACTGCGTACAATTGTGAAAATGAGCAAGACATTGTAAATATAGAAAGAACACCTTGTTAAAGTCTTTTGTTTCCAATTGAAATATACTGTTCTAATATACCAAGGTAGAGTTCTATTGTCATATTGGCAGAATTAAAAATGACTGGCCTGCTCTTGATGGCTTATTCTTGTAGAGTACCTTATGTACTATTGTAGTGTGCTTGGTGCATCATTGTGAATAATTGGAAATTATACAGTGTTTCAAAAGTTTTTTACTTTTCATCTGATAACATATAGGTTGCCATATTATCCCAGGTACTAGAGTTCCAACTGATTGGTTGCTGATGAGATTGGTGATGGCATGCCGCTTGTTGTAGGAGTAGTACTTGATGAGAAAGATTTTTATCTATGTTGAGTTGAATTAGGAGTAGCTGTCAGACATTCTTAGATGTCTTTGAAGTATGGATTAATGAATTTAGTATGTTGTACAATTTTGATTATTCCAGCTATATATCTGTATATAGCTACCAGAACAGACCTTCTGATCAGACATGGTCTGCTAGTGGTTTGATCTATATCTTTTATTAAGGATAGGATACAATCTAGACTGTAAGCTCGTTTGAGCAGGGTCCTCATCTACCTACTGTTCATGTGTCACTGTGTAATTGTTTCATGTATTGTAAATTTCCCCCCCTTTCATAATATTGTAAAGCGCTGTGGAATTAGTTGTCGCTATATAAATACCAATAATAATACTAATAATAAAATAATACGGGGGTCTACCCAAATAATTACGAGTGTGCATTTAGGAAGTTGATAAACTACAGAATGGCGTCATGAAGTCTGGAAAAGTCCTTAGATTCTCTTATAATAGTGTGATTGAGTGTCAAATGTTTTGTGTAGGTCTAAGAGACTCAAACTTAAGTAACTGTTATTACTTAAGGGTTATTGCTAAATTTAAGATGTGCTGTTTCGCTTTTACCTATTTGTCAGAATCAGCGGGGGAACTACTGCCGGGGCGGATGCTTTGGGGACTGCACACTAAGGATGGTAAGTGTGCGTCAGCAGGGGCCCAGTTGGGTATAATGGCCCCTTAAGAGCGGAATGTGGCCCTTTAATATCGACAGCCAGTGAGGAAGTGAGAGCCTGTCACTTCCTCCCAGCTAACAGAGCCGCGCAGGAAAGAGGAGGAGAAGGCAGAGAGGAGAGGGCACAGACTGGGAGAGCAAGACTGAGCTCTTGGAGGGTAAGATGGATAAGCTTTGTACAGATCATTATGAAATTGTTGGCATCCCAGTTCCACCACTCTGAAGGAAATGTCTTCTTACCTAAAAAGGTTTTTTAAAGCCAATGCCCCTAAATTGCTGACACTGCCTGGCTTCAAGATAGAAGCCACCACCTTCACAAACCCAGAGGTCTACCTCATCATATCCTTAGAGACATAATAGTAAAGTTCCACTACTTCCACACCAAGATGGCACTACTGGAGGCTTTCGCAAAGTCAAAGGTGCCTCAGGTTACAAGGTTACACAGCCCTATCAGTGCACACTTACCTGTCTCACTCAACAATGGCCAAGTGGAGAGAATTCTCTCAAGTTACCAAAGCACTGAGTGAACAGGGCATCATCTATCATTGGGGATTTAAATCTAAGCTTCTTGTCTGGAGGAACAGGGCCACCAGAGTCATCTGTACCCCAGTGGACGGAGTAGGAGCACTTTAAGTGTGGAACATCACATCACCAATGACGCACAGTTGCAAGTCACCTTCTCCAGCAAAGATGTCCCTAATTTGGAGAAGAGTGTCTGCCTCAAAATGAAGCTTTGACTCACATTCTCAGATTACATCTTCCTGAGTTGCAGCATTATAGAAAAATCTGCATGCTATGAGTATGCACGATTTTTATTTTTTTTATTTTAGCAAATGTATATAGTTAGTTAATTTTTGCTAATACACTACTCATGTTTGAAGCATTCCATTATGAACCACCATGGCTGATTTGTTCTCAATTCAGCTATTTAAGATGCCCTAATGGATAGGTCTTGTACCTAAGGTCACGTTTTTAGTCTGGTTTACAGACCTGAATAATGACGCTTTCTTAGTTTATTAAAAAGTTGCATGATGTTATATTCTGTCAGGTTGTTTAGGCCTACATTAGGTTAAGTCAAAACATACAAGACAATGTTATGATAATAAAAAAATTAAAAATGTAAAAATTTAAATACAAAATCCCAATAAATAAAATACAACTCCCACTATCCCCCCCAAAAGAGTTCCAATGCATATGTATAAAATTGAGTATATAGGAATCTTTAGTAATGTTACCAGGCATCGTCTTTAGAAGCACTACATTTGTTTGTAATACATGTAATTTACCAGTTCCTAGTTAACCTACACAAGCCTACTTAGTATATCTATTCATAGGTCTTACGCCAGTTATGATGTACTGAAGGTGATATTCTCCAGGCAGAATGATCCTTGCTATAAAAGGATTGTGGCAAGGAAGAGTATGTACTATGGCTGGGTCTTAGAAAAAAGTAAAATTGACCACCATGTATCACTGACAGCCACAGTCATGGAAACTGGTTACACTGAAAGCCACTGCCATGTAAAATGGCTTCACCGAAGGAAAGCCACAATGATGGAATAAGGTTTCACTGAAAGTCACGAACAAAAGGGAATTACACAATATGGCCCACCACTACATCACAGTATCCTAACATCGGTGGGTTCTAAAGGAATTTTAGCATGGGAGATGAACATGTTAATTGCAATACTTACTGCTTTAACTGCTTCTAGAGACTCTGCTCCATTTTTGCTTTCCTGTGGTCACCTTCAAAGGGGCACCTATAGTGAAGAGGTTGTGTTCTCAGCCCAATACGAATCTGATCTGGATTCCAAATCAACAGAAAAATGGAAACACCTGTAATATGCATTTCTAAGTGGTGCTGCCGTAAAGGCCACAAACACTGAAAGCCATGGAACCTAGTTTCACTAAAAGCTATGACCATGGAATGGAGTGGCATCCCCAATTTAACCATGAAATTAATGCATCTGTGCTTGCTTTATCCACAATATATCAGATTTGATCAACTTTATAGAAATGGAGAAGAAGAGCCCTCCAGTAGTTTTCTTCCTGATACCTAATCAATACATAAACACATCTAGAAGCCAGAATGTCGCTGTTTAATAGGGAATTATTTTGTATTAATTACATTACATTGTCTGCTCAAAATCTGTTTGTAAAAAAAAATCCCAATGGTTAAAATGGTTAAAAATAAAACCAAGCATGTTTAATGTGTCTCCATTTATCTTGCATTGAAATGTCATTGATTTACAAAGAAAATGAAATTTTTAATATGAATTTAAAAGTTAATCTTCAAGCAGAATTTAACATCAATAAGAGAATAAGAGCTTGCTAAAAATATTTTTAGAGCAACTTGTAAAGATAGTCATAGAGATGGCGTCTCCAACTCATTAAAATATACCTCTGCTTTCCTCACTTCAGAACCAGCAAGTGAAAAAAATCAAACTGACAGAGGGATTTTTTTGTCTTCAGATGAAATCCTATGACAGGTGGACACAGTTTCTTGCTTAAAGGAGTGACCTCAGATGTCTAGGACTGAGTTTAATTCCTTAAGGTTCCCTTAGAAACCTAGGAGGACCACCAAACCAAATACTAATAAAAAAAAAAAAAAAAACATAATACATTCAAAGGTTTTGTGGGCATGTAGTATAATCATTTCCTCTGTGAAGTCTCATAACACGATTGCGAAACTCAGACAGCTCTGGATTAAATCGCCCTGTGAGGTCCTGGGGAAGCCCATTCTTATCCCCGACTAAAGGACAGGCTAGTGTAATTTACATATCCAGTTTGGCAAATGACATCCAAGTAGGACCTATGAAAAGGGATCTGTTGCATATTGACAAATGTTAATTTAAGCGCTTATCTATTTATTTGAAACCTGGGATGAATAGTAAGGACATTAATTTATGACAGAAAAGAAAAAAAATACCTAAAAATTTATAACATTTTCATTTATTTCTTCATACTTTATTGAAAAACATGCAATATATTTAATTTTTTTAATTCTTTATTTAGGATAGGTGATATTTAGTACATTGGTTCAGCATTGGTATATGACACGACTTGTGAAACAGCATAACATTTAAACAAAATTTCACACAATGTATCTCCTGGTTTTCTTTTTATAGGTAACAAGATTAATTAAAAAAAACATGGTAAGCCAGCTACCCTATTTATATAGGATAGAAGGATTTCTATGTATTTACAATATCATGAAATGACTCTGTTGTCTAATATTCCAAATGAAAATTAGAGGGCCTAACTGTGATGGTTACTCCTAACCAAAGGGGCAACGGGAGGTTGAGATAATATTCACCTGTGTAGGTGATCAATATTAAAGTAGGTTTAAGTGCCAAGGATAAAAAACAAACAAAGATAACGGTTGAGCCAAAATAGACAAATAAAAATATAAATATGTATATAAAAGTCTTAGCTGAAAGGGTCTTCTTTAGATCAAAAAGTCTATAAAGTGCTTATTCAGGAACAATGTCCTCGCTGTTCTTCCCCAGGGGGATCCAATATTTTGAAACGATAAAACAGATACAAGAACCAAATAGTGTAGTACGTCCAATATGGTACAAGAAATAAAAAGAAGATAGGTAATGCACTCACATGTATTAGAGCTATAGCTAGCTCTTAGTATAAAAGGTGTACAGCGGTGTGATCCCCGCTTATGGGATATGGTGCAGGCTTCTTCTTCCAAGGGTATGTTCCACACATAAATAAAATAAAAAGAGAGACGACCAATAGTGCTCACTGGATAAAATAGTATAAATAAAATAAATAAAAAGGTACTCACAAGAGATGACAACATTGGTGGTATGATCCCCACCTCAGGATTACTTGGAGTCCAAAAGGATAAAATGCCAGGTAGAAAAATAAAAAATATATATAAGGTGTATTTAAAAGATGATTGGCACAATAAAAGGTGACCAAAAAATCCTTTTGGACTCCAAGTAATCCTGAGGTGGGGATCATACCACCAACGCTGTCGTCAAGGAGCAGTTTGCCTGTTCCACTCTTGTGAGTACCTTTTTATTTATTTTATTTATACTATTTTATCCAGTGAGCACTTTTGGTCTTCTCTCTTTTTATTTTATTTGAGTGTGGAACATACCCTTGGAAGAAGAAGCCTGCACCATATCCCATAAGCGGGGATCATACCGATGTACGCCTTTTATACTAAGAGCTAGCTATAGCTTTAATACATGTGAGTGCATTACCTATCTTCTTTTTATTTCTTGTACCATATTGGACGTACTACACTATTTGGTTCTTGTATCTGTTTTATCGTTTCATAATATTGGATCCCCCTGGGGAAGAACAGCGAGGACATTGTTCCTGAACAAGCACTTTAGAGACTATTTGATCTAAAGAAGATCCTTTCAGCTAAGACTTTTATATACATATTTATATTTTTATTTGTCTATTTTGGCGCAACCTTTATCTTTGTTTGTTTTTTATCCTGATTGTATTTGAGGGTTTTTTGAGGGATCCCCTTTAAAGGTTTCAGCCTTTTTGTTATTTAGCGCTTACTCTTTTTCTTGATTTTAAGTACCAAGGAGCTTGACATCAAGCCCTTCCAGCCAGGGCAATCCCCAACTGCCGTATATTATAGTATAATGTAGTGCACGATAACAAACAATAAAAGTAATGCCTCAAAAAGAAGAAGTAAAGAGACTCTAGGAAGATAATTTGACTTAACAGCAGGCAAGGTAGCAGACAAGTCATGAGGCAATTTCCCCATCTTACTCAACAGCGAATCTAGTCTAATGCTACCCCCACTGGTACTCCAGACCTGCTGTTTGTAGCTGTCTCATGACAGGTGCAGGATATTTGCACCTTTGCAATGTGGATCTGGTGAGAGCTTGAAAGAAGGTGAAATTAAGTAAGGCGTCTTGCCCCTTAGTGCTTCCATGATGGCGCTCTTGGTGTCGGCAGATGGGCAACAGACTATGATATTTCTCACAAGATTAGATGCCACCTGCCTTATCTGCGGTAAGTGATATGCCCATCAAAGCTTATCTTCTTTGCCTGGGTCGGTGGAAGGATGGATGCCAAAAGTCGTCTATGGTAATTCCTTGGGGGCGATGGTGTTGAGTATGACCGGGATTGTTAAGTGACTTCTTTGGTTGCAGCACTACATAATGGACATTTGAATGACTTCTGCGCTTCAAGCTGTTTGTAATTAAACAGTGTCCCTCAAGTTGGACAGACCTGCTTGGATGTCTGTGATGTCTTTTTTGGGAGCCCGAACCTGGTCAGTGACTGACTGGACATCTGATTTAACAAGGGCTATGTCAGCAGCTAGCATTTTCTGAATGTCTTGCAGGTGGTTTCAGATATCCTGCTCTGCAGTTTTGTAGATGGAGTTGGTCTCGGGTTTTGGTAGGAGCACAGTTAGTTAGCTTTTGTGTTCTGCACCCCACACTGGGATCACTGTGTTCCGGACTCTGGAATTGGTTGGCTGTTGTGCACGAAGCCGCACCTAGATAAGTACCACCAGGGCGGCTCTCAAAGGCCAATAGGTGCGGTGTGCAGTAGTTCATTTCATCCCCTACTCCAGAAAAAATGGCATTAATGTCTGCAGAAGTGCACACTGAGCGAAAGGGAGAATAAGCGTGTGTCTGTGAGTGAGTGAGTGTGTGAGTCTGTAAGTGAATTTGTGTGTGTGTCTGTCAGTGAGTATTTATGTCTGTCAGTGAGTGTCTATTACTGAATGTGTGTGTGTCTGTCAGTGTGTGTCTGTTTGTGAGTAAGTGTGTGTTTGTTAGTGATGTGTGTCTGCCAGTGAATGTGTGAGTGTGTCTGTCAGTAAATGTGTGTGCGTGTCAGTGAGTGTGTGCCTGTCAGGGAATGTGTGTCAGTGAGTGTCTGTGTCTGTTAGTGAGTGTGTTGGTCAGTGAATGTATGTGTGTGTGTGTGTGTGTGTGTGTGTGTGTATGTGTGTTTGTCAGTGAATGTATGTGTGTGTTTGTCAGTGAGTGTGTCTGTCAATGAGTGTGTGTGTCTGCCAGTGAATGTGTAAGTGTGTCTGTCAGTGAATGTATCTGTTAGTGAGTGTTTTGGTCAGTGAATGTGTGTGTCTGTCAGTGAATGTGTGTGTGTGTGTGTGTGCCTGTCAGTGAATATGTGTGTGTCAGTGAGTGTGTGTGTTTTTTAGTGAATGTGTGTGTGAATCTGTCAGTGTGTGTGTGTTTGTCAGTGAATGTGTGTGTGTGTGTCTGTCAGTGAGTGTGTGTCTGTCAGTGAATGTGTGTGTAACTTTCAGTGAATATGTTTGTGTCAGTGAGTGTGTGTATGTTTTTTGGTGAATAGGTGTGTGTGTGTGTCTGTCAGTGTGTGTCTGTTTGTGAGTGTGTGTATTTGTCAGTGAATGTGTGTGGGTGGGTGCCTGTCAATGAATGTGTGTGTCAATGAGTGTGTGTGTGTCAATGGGTGTGTGTGTCTGCCAGTTAATGTTTGTTTGTGTGTGTGTGTGTGTGTGTGTGTGTGTCTGTGAGTTAATGTGTGTTTCAGTGAGTGTGGATCTGTCATTGAGTGTGTGTGTCTATCTATCAGTGAGTGCCTTTGTCTGTTAGTGAGTGTTTTGGTCAGTGAGTGTGTGTGTCTGTTTGCGAGTATGTGTGTCTGTTTGCGAGTATGTGTGTTTGTCAGTAAATGTGTGTGGGTGTGTGTCAATAAGTGTGTGTGTGTGTCTGCTAGTGAATGTGTGTGTGTGTCTGTGAGTGAATGTGAGTGTGTTATTGAGTGTGGGTATGTCAGTGAGTGTCTGTTAGTGAATGTCTCGGTCAGTGAGAGTGTGTGTGTCAGTGAATATGTGTGTGTGTCAATGAGTGTGTATGTCTGTTAGTGAGTTTATGTGTGTGTGTGTCTGAAGTGTGTGTCTGTCAGTGAATGTGTGTGTGTGTGTGTCAGTGAGTGTTGATCAATGAATGTGTGTCTATCAGTAAGTGTGTGCTTATTTAGAGAATGTGCGTGTGTGTGTGTATGTCTGTCAGTGTGTGTCTGTTTGTGAGTGTGTGTCTTTGTCAGTGAATATGTGTGGATGTGGGTCTGTCAGTGAGTGTATATGTGTGTGCTTGTCAGTGAGTGTGTCTGTCAATGAGTGTGTGTGTCAATGAGTGTGTGTGTGTCTGCCAGTGAATGTGTGATTGTGTCTGTCAGTGAAAGCGTGTGTCAGTGAGTGTCTGTGTCTGTTAGTGAGTGTTTCAGTCAGTGAATGTGTGTGTGTGTGTGTGTGTGTCCGTGAGTGTGTGTGTGTGTGTGTCTGTTAGTGAGTGTCGGTCAGTGAGTGTGTGTGTTTGTCAGTGAATGTGTGTGGGTGTGTGTCTGTCAGTGAGTGTGTGTGTGTGTCAATGTCAGTAAATGTCTATGTGTGTGTGTCTGTCAGTGAATGTGTGTGCCTGTGTGTCCCTGCCTGTGGATTTAATGCTCAGCTTGGTTCCTTGTAGATAGTAGGTCAGGGTTAAGGGCCAGTTAAAGTGTCGTGCGTTCACAGGTATTTCCCTTCAAATTGCAGTGTCACAGATATTCACCAATTAAACAAAATGAGAATAAAAACAGAAAAATAGTGCTCTCTGTTTTGTTGTTTTAAAAGCAAAATAAAAGGAGGTATACTAAAATCCTTGCTCAATCCTGTGTAGCGTAGGTGGTTTCCTCTCTACCAAGGAGGTAAGAACTGTGGCTCCTCCTGATAAAATTTTCAGGGATAAAATCAGGAAGGCCCAGGTAAGGTAAAAAAATTGTTTAATTTAAAACAAAGTTAATAAAACCAATGACATACAAAACATTAACATGTTTCCCCCCAAAGTGGCTTTTTCAACGTGTCTTTGATCAATGAAAGAACATTTGATGCTTACTTGGAAATCTGCAAGGAATGATGTAGTAATTAAGCATGACAGAAATGTATTTCCCAGTACATGTATATAATAATAATTACATATACTAGTATACTACATGGTTGTCATCTGAGTCAGGTCACAGGCTTCCTTTTGTGCATTCTTCTACCAGGTAATTACCCCCAAAAAATCATGATTAATCACGTAGAGAAAACGATTAATTTAGGCATATGAAACTTGTGACAATAACACTTAGAACCCTCTTTAACTGTAAATACTGTACTGTAAATACTTGGAAATGGGCATTCTGAAAAACGTTCTTGTGTTTCTTCATTAATAAATATACATATGCATTTAAGAAATGGAATATACCAATAAAGAAAAGGAAACAAAGTAAAAAAAAAAAAAAATGAAGGGCACTTTATTTCAAAATAGAAATAACATTTTTAATATCACAATCTCCAGGTTATATCAGTTATAATGTCATACAATCATACTGCAACCATAATGGGTCAACGTTAGTCAAACTACCTCCTTCCTTTCCCTCAAACCCATGACTGTCTGTAGACATGTGACCGTCTTTAAAACGTTAGTCAAGCACTACCTTTACCTACTACCTTGCTGGGTAAATCTGAAGCTAAAAAAGAGGTATAGCAGGGATCTTTGAAAAAAACGTTCTGGATTTTTATATAACAACAACAATGAACACTTCCCGTGCAACCACTAAAGAAATATTTTAACCACCTAAAGTGTACTGTAGTAGTTATGGTGCTAGGAGTTCCCTGGCATCATCCCACGGTAAGCCGTCATATAATTTATAAATGGCCTGTGACTTACCTGGCTACATACGGTGACCACGGTAATTCTAGTCTGCACTGATATGCTGAAGAATACTTGCTGGTTAACTTACCAACTTAAAATAATTTTTACTGGCTGAGAAAGCTGACAGCTGACAATGTCCAAATATCTTTAGAAGCTTTTGGATTGACAATGTTCGTTATTGATTTTTTTACATTCTTTATTACAGGAAACAAAAAACACAGCCATGCCTCTATCAGGAACACCTGCCCCAAACAAGAGGAAAAAGTCTACTAAAATTCTTGTGGAGATCAGCTGTAAGTATCTTGGTTATTGTAAATTACCATTCACGGTAAATGTACCATCACTGTTGTAGTTAGCCTCCAAATGCGGTCTGATTTTTATGCAATTTTATTTAATAAAAGAAAAATTGCACATGTAATTTATTGGCCTTGCCACCACACATGTAGGTGCTGTGAGTACTGCAAACAAATGCAGTCATCTTACCATAGCCCTGTGCATTTTAAAACAAGTGTGTAGCTCAAAATGTATAGTCTAATATTTCCATGGACATGCTTGTTAAATTGATTAATCATATCTCATGTCTAACACATAATAAAATGATATTGTGATAAAAAGTGCAACTAAAAAACATGTTACATTCACAAGTGTGAATAGTGTATAGTCCTCAACTATACACAAAATTAGTACAATGTAACAAAACTAAAAACTATAAACCAATACAAAAATGGTACAGCGTGCAAAAAAAAAAAAATGTTTGCCTAAATTGGTTATAATACTGGAAACAGAAGTTTCTCATGAGTAGGGCATAAAAAAATAAAATAAAAAAAAACACCAGAAAAAAAATAGTGTAAATCAGTAAAAAAACAAAACAAATAAAAAGAGCTCTCACTCCCAATAGGCAACTCACATGAAATAGAGCTCTAGGTTGTGTAACTGATGGAGTCTCTAAAGGTTCCACAACACCTTCATGATGAATGATTTTGCTGAATGATATCTTCAAAAGCAAACATAAACGGCCAGTAGTGTTGATGGTACTCAATGGCAGAAATGTGAATCTAGAACAAGGAAAAACTCACTCACATAGACAAGAGACTATGAATATTGGCTCAAGTATAAATGAAAATGTGCTAAAGTACCACCCCGCTTACAAACAGGAAGACAGCAACAGACTACAGGCAGCCAGATCAATATATGTATAAGAGAACTTTATTACTTATATAAAAAGACTCATCGTTATAGAGGGGGAAAAAATAGATGTCCTTGTTGTCTTCCGATATGCATTTTGCTGCGATAAATCAGCTTCCTCAATATCTTGCTACTGTAGTTTCTCTGGAGGTTAATCCATTACCAAGCATCTAAGGCATAGAGGTAGGGAGTTAACAATGGAAAGGGTTAACGCTTCTTTGGGGCCATATCTTGCTTTTCTGCTTTTGCACATATATTTTCTATGCATAATCAGGTAAAACATCCTCATATAAGACATTCTTCCTATGCAAATATTATTTAAATAAAGTGTTGTGCTGTAGAGAGGCATGAATTAATAATGCAATATGGGCAAAATGTTTATTTTTAATATATTTGTTTAATTACATGGAAAAATGTGTGCTTTGGCATCTTTTCAGCAAAGTGTATTAATGAAGTGTAAAACCGAGGGGAGCGCCGGATAATAATAAATTATATTTATTATATGGGTAAGACACTTGGAATGAATTCTCATAGCACATCTGACTCTTAAATTGTTTTTGTGTTTAATTAAAATTCCTACTCACAATTTGCAAACAGTTTTATTTAATAAAACATTTTTAAAAAGCTGTGTTCTTTTTTGTTTTTTAAATGTAAAACTATATGGTTGGTTTTAAGGTTCTTGCTTGGACAGTTGCTGCAGTAGCAAAACTTCCTTCTTCTGCTCTCCTCTAAAATAAATAAATATAGATAGGTGGATGGATGGATGTAGAGATGGCTGGATAGACACACTCACAGAAATGTGTTTGATTTACCCTAAATGACTGTATGCAACTACCATATGGATTTTTTATTTTTTTGTAGTTTTCAGTTGAACTAATGATATATAGACTAATTAACCAAACACTATTGAGACTGAAGTTAATTGGCACCTTGAAGTGCTATTTTATTCACATCATAGCATGTTGAGCATGTTTGGATGTGAATAAAATAACACTTGGAGGTGGCATATCATTTATGTCCTGAAAGCGCTAATTACTGAATCTATACTGAATAACCTATACTGCTTAACTGCAGATAGATAGGCAGAGAGGAAGACAGACAGACTCACAGAAGTGTGTGCACGTTACAATAAATCGCTCTCTAGGCAACTACCAACTACGTGATAACTGATAATGATCGCCCTACATTCCATTTTCTGTTTGCGCTAAAAACAATCAAACAAGACAAAGTCAAGCACAGAAAATTGTTTGGATTTCTAAAGAAAAGCACAAGAAGGCAAAATGGTGAATGTAGGAACATACTAGTCGCAGGTTGGGTAGAAAGCTCACAAAACCATTCAACTAGAGGTAATATGCAGAAGAAAACAAGAAAAATAATAAAGGCAGACGGTAAATACGGTAAATGTACAAGATCCTTTAATGGTAATATTTACTTTTCTTTAAAACAACTGTAGTGAACTTAAATAGTGATTTGATTGAAAATCTATGCATAATTTGCAAAGACGCCTGATGGTGACATCACCATGGGGGCTGGTAGGATATACTTACCTGAATGTGTCCCTCATGGTTGCTGACATCCTCTACCATCTGGTCCTCTTCAGCTCCTGGAACTTCAGCTGTCAGGAGCCAATGTCAGTGCAGTAGCCTCGCACATTTGCAGAGTACAGCTTTGAGGTCTATTAGGTCAAGATTGCGGGATCCTCGGTAGAAAGAACTTGACAAAATGTATCTCCGTCTTTAGTCAATCATTGTCAAATGTAGGAAAAATACTGAGACAAAGTAGTCAATACTTTGTCTCATTATCTTCTTTAAGTGGTTTGAAAATTCAGTAAAATTACAACACAGTCTATGTGAGCATTTCATGAAGATAATATCTTTATGAAATACTCATAAAGGTGTGACAGAGTAACTTTAAATGAGGAAATTTCAAATTTAAACACAATGTTGCTTTTCTTTGTGGTCAATATCACAATTTCATATTTAGATTACTTTTGTGCATTTTTTTATGCCATCTTTTTATATGCTCTTTTTTATTTTTTTTATTTTTACGTTATTGGTATGCTAACTATAATTTGTTATTAGCAGAGTAAAATAAAAAATATCTTCGTGCTGAAAGAATCTGAAGTTTAGACATTATGCATTTTGAAAGGATGCAAATGTTACCAGCTTGCATGAAGATCTGTAAATTACTTATGGTTTATGTTTTATAGCCTCAAGAGAAGAAGAACAAGATGTCTCTAGACTAAATTTAGGGAAGAAGATCAGTGTTCCTAGAGACATCATGCTGGAGGAATTGTCTTTGCTCAGCAATAAAGGATCCAAAATGTTTAAGCTTCGTCAAAAGAGAGTGGAAAAATTCATCTATGAAAACAATCCAGATGTATTTTCAGACAATTCAGTGGTAAGAGAATGGTTCATAATTATACTCTAATTTGGTGTTGTATTGGCATTGGAACCATGTTTTAGTCTTCATGGTTTCCAAACCTCAGTGGGTCCTCCGATAAATGTGAGATTTAAAAATAAGTTAACCTATCATATAATCTCTGGTACACTGTAAGTGGGATTGTTTTAGATTATTAACCAAATCATGCATTCACTAGGGAAATTCAAATTTCTGTTGCAAAATGAATGGATTGAGAAAAAAAAACTGCAAGTCAGCTATGATTTCAGCTCCAATATGTTGGCATTAAATATGTGATTTTCTTGTGAATTACAGACAACTCATAGTTTAGTGAATAAACCTGTGTGTGTGTGTGAGTGGTGCAATGTGTAAGGGGTGCAGTGTGTGTGTGAAGGTTGTAGTGTGTGGGTGAGGGTGGCAGTGTATGTCAGGGATGCAGGGATGTGTATGGGGCAGTGTGTGTGTGTGGGGGACAGTGTGTGTGTGTGCATGGGGGCAGTGTGAGTGCATGGGGGCAGTGTGAGTGCATGGGGGCAGTGTGAGTGCATGGGGGCAGTGTGAGTGTATGAGGGGCAGTATGTGTGTGTGTGTGGGGGCAGTGTGTGTGTGGGGGGCAGTGTGAGTGTATGGGGGGCAGTGTGTGTGTGTGCAGTGTGTGTGTGGGGGGCAGTGTGTGTGTATAGGGGCAGTATAGGGGGCAGTGTGTGTATGGGGGCAGTGTGAGTGTGTATGGGGGCAGTGTGTGTGTGTGTGGGGGCAGTGTGAGTGTATGGGGACAGTATGTGTGTATGGGGGCAGTGTGTGTGTGTGGGGGCAGTGTGAGTGTATGGGGGCAGTGTGTGTGTGTGATAAAGGTAGGGGGGGCTTTTTTTTAATATATATATATTTTTTATTTTATTTAAATAAATATTCTATGTCCCCCCTCCCTTCTTACCTTTATGGAGGAGGAGGGGGGACATATTTCGATCCCAGGTGGTCCGGTGGGGGATTCCCTGGTGGTCTCAGTGGTTGGAGTGAACTCTAGCCCGCGCTCCCGGGCTAGAGTTCACTCTCGCGAGATTTGGAGCGTTGCCGTGGTAACCGCGGCAACGCTCCAATTCTCGAGAGAGGAGGACCCGGAGGAGCTGCAGGCTGCTGGGTCCTCTCTCTCACTCCCTCCCTCCGCTGCCAGCTGCCAGCACGGTGCCTGCGGACCGGGGAGGGAGATCTCTGATCTCCCTCCGCAGGCACATAGCAGGGCTAGCACCTGCATGTCCTGGCAGGGGAAAGGGAGTCCGGCGGATTTCTCGAAGGGGGCAATTGCCCCGTTGCCCCCCCCTGGATCCGCCACTGGTCCTCATAGCCATTCATTTCTCACACCCCCCTCCCATGTCTCTCTAGACTTCCACCCCATGACTCTCTCCTTTACCTCCTGTATTTCTGTCCATCACCCACATGTCTCTCTCTATCACGTCTCATGTATCTCTACATCATCACCCCCATCATCGTGTAATTCCGGAATTTGCTGGTGCTTTATAAATAATAAAATAATAATAATAATTCTATCAATCTCTGACGTAATCTAGTAGTTTAGTGCAGCCAGGGTCAGTAGATGCCTGTGCTCTTTCCTGCATACCTATATCCCTATTCTTATGTTTGGGTCTCCATAATAGAAGGTGTGATGTGTCTGTGCTCTCCGTATTACAGCAGTGGTTATATGCTGCAAGAACCACAACTACTACTGGGTGATGTTCCAGTGATTGTCAATATTCAATGGATGCAGCTTTCCATAGATATACTAAATAGACAAGATAGTCAACACTTGGAAACAGTCCTTATAAGAGAAGTTACCCTCCACACCCACACACACTCCTAGGCAGTTAGGGGAGATCTTCCGATATTCTCATTTGTCCTACAAGTTAAAGAATTCAAGGAAAACCTACTTGGACGAATGCCCAAGGCTGGTGGTGAATTAAATCTCCTTGCACTCATATCTATGTTCCTTTGAGCAGGAAGTGGGAAGACCTTGCAACATTCCTGTAAAGGATCCCCTATACTCCGACTGAGTATATGCGCTGTAGTTCTCCTGAATTCCAAGTGAAGCAGTGATTAAAGCTTGAGCTATCCAAACATCGGCCTAGACTTGATGAAGGGTACAACAGGAATAATTTATTCTTGCCAGATGGCCTGCTTTTATACACATCAGGGTTACAGTCCAACATGCCCATAACACTGCCAAATCCCGCCCATAACACTCCCACAACACGCCCATGAATTCTGAGTCAGGATGACTAAATATAAAAACATAACATACATAAAATATTAAAAATACATATAAGACATATAGGAACCCCCACAAATATTATATTGTTAAATAGCCCTGAACTGAGCGCCCAAATTCTTCAAATAGCGTTCATAGTGTTAAAGTTCTGACCGGCCTCACACACATGATCCTATGCCCAAAACGTTCGGGAGCTCCTGCGGCCGCAAAACGGGATGCTCTGGCTTGCTGTTATGGAGCGTTTGTTCCCCTTATTCTCAGGCACCTTCCCTCTAAAAAGTGCTCTCCTGCATATTTAAAAGTGGTTCAAAACCGCAAACCATGTTGTCCGGGAACCACACGGTCACCTCATGTTGAAAACAGTTCCATACCATTCGTGGCTAAGTCCCGCTGAGGTGACCAGGAACGCACAAAGTCCTCATGCCAAAATTAGTTCCATAGCGATCGCAGCTAACTACCACTGGGACTATTCGTGTGTTTGGTTCATGCAAACGGCCACCAGAGAGCAAGCTTTCGGTTCCATTCACATGAAGGGAAAGTGCCAAACCAGGGGCACCCAGGGCAAGCTACTAATGGTGGTTGGGGAGATTTAACTTCCAAACAGGGTCTTTGTATATGGCCCATAGTTGGTGGGCAGGAGGCCAGCTTCTATACTCCTCCATGAATTTGTGGCAAACGTCCAGGGCAAGGAGCGTTTGTCACAATACTATATACGTTTTTTATGCAGTAATCAATGGCAAAGTGTAATAGAGGTGATAAAAATTATATGGTAATAGAGAGGGCAAATACTATTTGTAAATCTGTCTGTCTATGTAATTTAAATGCTTCAACTGGTAGGACCATGAAAGAATTATACATAGTGGTAGCTGTGGTTGGACTTAGTAGGTTAGAATGTTTTTAAGTTTTGATCTTTAATACTAATTAATAGTTAAATTCCTCTTGAATATTTAAGAATGTACAAAATGCATTTATGATTTAATTGGCTACTTAGAGTAGGTATGCAAATTAACATTGATGTATCTAGTCATTAATTGCTATAGTGTGTAGACCAAAGCTAATGACTCAAGTCAATGTATACAAATAATAATTGAAGTAAGAGACAAAATCTTGCAAGCATGCATAATCATGAGCTGATTGTGCTCTGTTTTACATTCTTAAGTGCCAATTTAGATATTAATAATGGTATTTAAAAACCACTGCAAAACAGGTACAATAAAGGAACAATGTATATTCCTAACCCTATAGTTAAAAATACTATTTAGGACCCTTGGTCTCCCTTGCCACCCTTATCCCTCTTATATAGGATAAAAACACATCTTTATTCCAGTGCTGCATAGGTCTGCGGACACTGGCTCTGCCCCCAATCTGCCTCCTTGGCTGACATCAGAATTGATGATCTCAACCAATCCAATGCTTTCCTTCTGATGATATCAGCCAAGAAGGCGGGGTGGGGGCAGACCCAAAAGCCATGCATGTCAATCAGCATATGCTCAAATGCTGAACGTCAGTGCTGTACACGGTACAGCACTGCCCCAGGAGTGACTGCCATTGAAAGTGTCCCTAGGCAGCAATGTAAACACTGCCTTTTCTCTGAAAAGGCAGTGTTTACAGTAAAAAGCCTGTAGGGATTGACTATACTCACTAGAACAACTACATTAAGCTGTAGTTGTTCTGGTGTCTGTAGTGTCCATTTAAAGTCAGCTTAAGCAGCATAACAACTTTGCAGAATTGTAAAGGATATGATGCAAAGAGTACCCTTCATCCACACCCAATGCTTGGAATGGCTTTAACTGTGGGAATTTGTAACAAAAATTGCTGCAACGATAAGCAAGCCCCCTGACTCAAACACAATGATGAAAGAGTTTACATTGCCTTCTGTGCATGCACAAATTAGAAGAAAAAAATCTCTTTTTCCTTCCCGGAGACAACCAAGTCAAGGCTACACATGTGAAGTTGGTGGCTTTACCGATTGACATACACAAACTGCGTTGCAAACCTGTGAACCCGGCTGTGTATAAAGTGATAACAGCTGCGGTACGATTGCAATTTATTGAGCAGTTCCAATCATCCTATGTCAGGGGTGGGCAATCTTCGGCCCTACATCTCCCTTGATGCTTTGCTAGCACTACGGCCCTACGAGCATTATGGGAGATGTAGTCCAAAACATCTGGAGGGCCTCAGATGTCCTATGCTATGGATGGAACTGTGAATGTGGAATAAACCTAGATATAATTTAAAGACTTGGGTTGGAGCCTATTTAGACAACTTTCTGGTTTTGAGAAATAATGACTCATATTTGTTCTCCCATATTACTTTGTTTTCATATTTTCTCTTGTGCACACTGTAAAACACTCAGAATGCCTATTTTGTTTAACTCGCCCAATAACAGATTGATAATTGAAAGTAAATGATACTTGGCTATTCATAAGAAATTTTTGTGCATGGTTAAAAGAAATTAAAAAAGAAATTTATATTTAATTAGTATTAAACTTCCACAAAGCCCGATAGGTAGATGGGCAGGGGTGCTGACTAAATATAAAGAAACAGAATTGGTATCGATATCTGAGAGACTGTAACATTTAAAACAAACTCCGCAATGGTTTAGGAAACTCATCTTAAGGATGGTGGAAATAGAAACACATGTGGTGGTCTCAATCATTCCACTCAGAGAACCTATTAGGGCCAACAGTGCATCGCTTCGAGTCTATGTCATACCTTACAGCGACAACACATTCTTAAAGCAATATCTTATTGATGATCATATTCTCACCATACTTCCTATAAACTCCTGTCTGAACTATAGAAATAATATTTCCAAATAGGAATATTCTAGCCAACTATTTCAGGAGGGAATGATCAATGATGTCAAAACTACACTGTACCAAACATTTTGCAATACACAGATTATATTAACCCTAAAAGAAGAAAATATGCAACGGTGGTTATATTGTCTCCCAATTCGAAAATTCTACAGATTTAGAAAAAAAAAATCATTATGAATAGCAATATGTAAATACAGGTTCACATAGGTAGGTTTTTTTTTTTAATGTATTTTTTCTAGTGTGCTCAGTGATCACGTATTAATTCCTATACATTTCTACTTAACTCTTATGTTTTTTGGCATTATTGTTATCGTGTTCCATTAAAATTAAGGGAAATACAAATACCTCATTTTGTGAGAGCTGGGAAAATGTGAGTTTATTCACTAAACTGGGGATTTTAGAGAATTGATAAAAGTAGAAAAATTTGGGGCAAACATATTTTTCAAATTCGGCTACTCTAGCCTAGAATTGCTGCAATTCCTTTTCAGCAAATCTCACAGTTTAATGAATAAATCTCTGTTCATTTTTATAAAGTGAAATAGTGTGAAGAAGTCTTGCTTTTCTATTAATATGTATGCTATAATTTTAGATCTTTTAACAAGGCTCCAGCAATGGAAAGGCTAAGGGTTAAGGCACGTAACAGCATTCCTGTTTAGTGCTATGTGCAGGTCCTTTGGTCATTGCACCTTCTTCTCTCCTCTGATTGGTGTGTTCTGTTCTGTCGTTCAAGCCTCTAAGCACACAGGGTTATATAATCCCAGCGACTCTCCTGATTTTTTACTTCTTGTATTTCTGTCTATATTTAGCTAATGGAACAGCTGTTGTAGAAGCTGGTGTACAGATTTTCTTTGCAGAGCCTGCATTTACACTGTCAGTGGCTAAATGCTAGCATGTGGGTCGCCGTGTACAAAAAGAATAACTATGTATTGGATATTGCACACGATTGCTTGAATTGAAATTAATTGAAAAATCATTATGTATAGCAATATGTAAATACGCACTGATAAACAAAAAAAAAAGCATGTAGGTTTTAAAAAAATATAGAACAATTCAATATATTTTCTAGTGTGTTTAATGATGACTTAGTTTAGTTTTGACACATTTCTACTTAACATTTTTTTACGTTTTTCAGCAATATTGCTGTGGTGTCCCATTAATCTTTGGATTCGTGCTGCATTATGTTTAAGAAACACTCTCATGAGTACAACCCTAGCAGTGCTGTGTTAAAAAATCTCAGGGATATGTGTTAATAAAAAAATCTGATAGAAACAAATTCTCATTAGAAATATATATTCAAAAAAAAACCCACAAACCTATAAAAAATATTTTGCAGATTTTTATTGGTATAATATCTTGAAATAAAAAAAACACAATATATTAAAAACACAAATTTGTTAAAATGAGAAATGTAAAGAAGTTTGGGTTCTTTTAAAAAAAATAAAAATTCTATCAAACTATTAAGAAGTAGTTTAATAAAAACAATTTTCCCTCTCCGCAATCTCATCTAGAGACCACCTCTTCCTCAGCAGCTTGATTTTAAGGAATTAAAAGGAACACTCCACAGGTTAAAGGCATTCTTTACATTACTGCATAAGAACACTTCTAGTCACCTACATGGCGACTAGAGGCTTCGTTGGTCAGTGCTGTACTCCATGCTCTGCATGGAGATGCTGAACACTCCGTATTGAGATACATTGATTCAATGCATCTCCATGAAGAGATGGTGATTGGCCAGGACTGTGTTTTGCCAGGCATGAGCAATAGCTGCCCAATGTTTTCCTATGGGAAAGCATTGGATTGGATGAGTTTGTCAAATTTGATGATCTCAGCCCAGGAGGCGGAGCAGGGCAGAGTCAGATGGGACAAGACTGGCTCAGTGCTGGAAAGAGGGTGAGTAAATTATCGTTTTAAAGGCTGTCCAGACACCTAAACAAGTATATCAGACCTCAGGCAGTCACTGGAGCAATAGGTGAGAGAATAATATAATATTATACACTTACATTTGGCAGGGCCAGGAGCTGCTACTGCTGTGATCTCTCGGTGTTATTTCCAATATGGCGTCTTGCTTCTTTCTCCTGTTGGCACTGTAACCCCACCTCCTGGTGCTGTAAGTCAATAATGGCCCCTGAATAGAGAGGCCAATAGCATGCCTTCACTCATGGGCAGCTTTTTCTGCTGTCCAAATGGCAACTCATTGGAAATTCCTGTAAAGGAGACTAGGCATGTGCAAAACCTGCTGCAACAGACAGAGAAGATTTCAAACCAGCCCCATTTTTTTAAATTGCCTAGATTCTCCCAACGAAGCTTTTCCAAACAGTTAACTTAAAACCTATTACAGAATGAAAGAGACACTAATTGTTTCCATATTTTTTGGCTTACCACCCTCCCTCCAGAAAAAGAATTTTAGTGTTTCTATAGTATTGCAAATACATTTTACCCACAAAAAAATGGATGGGGCAATGCCCCAGGTGCCTTTATGAACAAGCCACCACTGGTTACTAGCAGAAATGCTGCACATACAGATTGCTAAAAGCAGAAGTGTCATGGTTGAACAGTGCACATATAAGGGAATTATCCAATATTACCTTTCAAATTCCAGGTAATCGACAGGTTTTCAATAAAACATGGAAATAAGGAAGAGGACACACAATACTGTGTAGTATACTGTATTATTAATGGCATGCATGCCACTAAAACCATGTAAAGTCAAACTCAGAAAAACAAAGCACAATAATATGTATTATTGTGCTGGTAAAATAATGAGTTTTATTACTTTTTTTCTTCTCTGCAGGACCACTTCCAAAAATTTATACCTTCTGGAGGTCATTTAGGACCTGGAGGACATACAGGAGTTGGAGGAGGAGGCTATGGTTTGGGACATGGCGGAGGACGAATGGTGTCAAGTCTATCAGGAGGACAGCATGGGCATGGAGGTCACCATCCACCAATACCCCCACCAAAGCCTGGAAGTAAGTGCGGTGTTGGCGGTGGACAGGCTGGTGATTCGAGCAGCGGAGGAAAAGGAGGAAGCGAAGGCATTGATGGCTCAGGAGGAAAAGGTAAGTAATATCACATGATATGGTTCTTCTCATAAATAAAATATATGTAGATAAAAGATATGCTGTTAAGAACCTCAGTGGTTAAGGTACCGAGTTCTTCTATTCCTTTCTGAATAGCTGAGCATAAGTGATTATAGCTGCAGTTAGGGTGTACAGGAATAGTAGAGTTGAATGCAGCTTCCAAGACAAATCTTCCCAGCAATTAAAAGGTTACACAAGCAGGAGCCTAGACTTCATGAAGGGTACAACAGGGATAATATTTTATTTATGCCACACTGGCTTTTATGGAAATCCTCCTGCAAGAGGACCTCCCACAGTAAACAAAAGTGACAACCAATCATAGTACATATTTCCAGTAAAACCCTCCCTTCCTCTCCCTGGGAGATAATGAGATAAGTTAAAGGATAACTCAATTATCTCCAGGCAAAGGGCACACAATTTCCCCAAAACGTAGAACACCCCTTTATACACATGGTATCCCCACATGTCCCTTAATAGCCCTGATCTGGGAGACCAACTTATTCAAATTTCACCCAGATCGGTTCAGGGGTTCTCAAAAAGTATGGAAGTCTTAGTTCTCCTGCCCAAAATAGTTCCATGAGTTTAGGCTGTGCGGTCGGTCAATTTTGAAAAAGACAAATAAACAAATAAACCCATGAACGGAGCCTCCTGGCTCATAGGAGTGATTGATCCCCATGTGTGTGGGAACCACACTACTGAACGGCGTTCTCCTGGCTGTTCGGCAACAAAAGGAAGCAGGCATTCATATGTTTTCAGCGGTGTTCGGGAAGTCGAGTGTCCGATTTTAGTTCTAGACACTCGACAACCAAGTCCCGCTGCCTCTTTTCGTGAAAACAAGATGGCCGCCGTTTTCTCTTCCACAAGGCATTCGACTATACGAACGGCGGCCGCCCAGAGAGCGCTTAATAGAAGGTTCCCTTTGAAGATAATGAGCCAGGAGGGTAGTCGGTGTTCGGTAGATTAATCTACCGAACCAGTAAATACAAAATAACCGAAATAAAGCAGAAAATCCCGAAATGAAGAAGAAAATACCGAAAATTAGTCTATTTTCTTCACATATGTGATTTGAGGTAATCAATTTATTTTGTGGCTCCACAGATTGGCATCTCACTAAAAGTACTTCTAAGTCAATTTATCACGATTCATCACCGTCTATTTAGGGCTGTTTATTTACTTGAGAAAATGACAACAATGAAGTTATATCTTATTTATTAAAAATACACCAACGGCACCAAAACAACTTAAGCTAAATGAAGCCATTTTGTTGTATAGATCATGCACCTGCACTTTCACTGCTCAATTCTCTGCCATTTAGGAGTTAAATCACTTTGTTTATACAGGCCTAGTCACACCTCCCTGCTTGTGACTTAGAACAGCCCTCCTAAACATTTCCTCTAAAGAGAGATCTAATGTTTATGCTTCTTTGACTGCACAGTTTGTTTAATTTATAATTTCTTATCTTCTGCTCTGTTAATAGCTCTCTAGGCCATACAGGACTCACCTATGTGTGGTAAACGTTTAATTTACAAAGCAGGAGATGCAAACTTAACAAGTTAACATCTGATTGAAAATGAGCCCCTATTTTTCATGCAGGCTGTCTTAGTCACAGCCAGGGGGTGTTTTGCTAGGGCTGCTTAAATAGAAACAATTGTGATTTAACACCTAAATGGCAGATAATTGAGCATTGAGACTGCATGGGGCATGATCTATACACCAAAACTGCTTCATTAAGCTAAAGTAGTTTTAGTGCTTTTAATTTAACCTTTAAAGGATCACTCCAAGCACAATAACAATTACAGTGCACTGTAGTGGTCATAGTGCCAGAAGTGCCGTCAACCCCCCCCCCCCCTGCTAAAACGTAAGGAGTCAAAATGTTTAGTTTGACTCTTTACTTGGGATCTGCCGGGTGCCACTCAACACCTTTTCTCTTCTGGATCTCCTGCTTAGGAGTATCTGAGGAGAGAAAGTGAGGTGTAGCCGCAGGTAAAAAGTTAAACTGTTACTAAACAGTTTGATTCTTTGCAGTGGGGGACGCCAGGGCACTCTTGGCATCATAACCACTGTAGAATGCCATAATGGATATGGTGCTTGGAGTATTCCATTAGCACATAGGGGGTTTAATACTATTGTTAAGTATTACCTAATTGACCAAAACATAATTACAAAGGTACCAGTTGACATATAGAAACATAATGCTAAGCATATTAGCAGCACATAGACAACAAAAGCCAAATTTAATGTGTGACAGATCCCTCCAGTCTAGCCTGCCACTCCATGTCCAAACACGCATTTACAGGCCTATCATCCATACACAATACAAATTGTAATGTAGTCTTTATAAGAATTTTGTGATACTGATTTATTTAATGCATTTGTTATTTGTTTTGCTTTTTCATTGTGACTTTAGATGGTCATTCGGGTCAAGATGGTCCAGGTGGGAAGCATATCACTATTTTCAAGACTTACCTCTCCCCATGGGACAAAGCAATGGGAATTGACCCACAACAAGCAAGTAATCTCAACATAAATTTGCTGGATTATTGTACAAAGGCAGAGCTCGTCAAATATAAATCATTCAACAGGTAACAAAAGTTACATCTACTCCAAAATATTAGTTCATACATGACTTAAGTGGGGGTATCTTTTTTTTTTAATCTTTGTTATTGCTTTACATCCCATCTTTTGTCATTTGTTGACCAATCAATGTGCCTCCAGAAATAAATGTTCTGTGGATCTGTAACAGTTCTGCAAAAATACAAAGGAAAAGGTGCAAAAGTAACAAATCATTTCCACCGGAAAAAAACAAAACCTGTACAAAAAAGGCTCAGTATATTCTGTAATGCTTTAATGAATCTGTTAAAAAAAAAAAAAAAAAAGTTACTGTCCCCCCCCTTATCTCCCACACTTTATATCCTTTTATGTTTAATCTACTGGACCGTGAAATCCACCCTTGCACCCATGCCTTGGCTTTTAAATAAGGTAAGAATCCTCAGGATGTTGTATCAGTGAGAAAAGAACATTGGACTTCCTCGTAGTCCCATGTGAAATAAATGTATGCAAAATAAACATAAAAGATCTCTCATTATGACACCAGAGGATAGTGATTCCATCTTATACTTAGGACTCACTAAAAGAAGTCAAGTGGTCTCTTCCCCCTATGTTCACAAATATGTGTGAGATGTTAGAATGTCTTTCAGAACTCTACTGAGTTAATGAAAACCTTTTTTTAATTTAGGAAATTCAGCATTCTTAAAGAATGTCTTTGTATCATCATCCTATTCCTTTAAAACAGGTATTCTTTAAAAAAATAACCTTAGTAGCATGGGCGTCCGCAGGAATTTTTCTGGGGGAGGGGGGAGAGGCATAATTGTAATGACATCCATGCTTGGCCCTTTTTGACAGTGTCATGAAGGGGAGGAGCATAGTCATTATCACATAAAGCCAGAGTGTATAGCGTTTTCACAACTATGGTGTCAGGAATACATGTTTGTATTCCTGACACTATAGTGTTCCTTTAAGCAAATTAAAGGAACATTCTGGTCACCATAACAACTTCATCTAAATGAAAATGCTATGATGCAAGGAAGCCCCTGGGTGCGCTCTTTCCTTTAAGGGGTTAAATCACTCTCAAATAGTTTAACCCAAAAGGCTTCCTCCAGCTCCAGGTCGCTCAGTGGTATTCGGCATTCGAAACAGAGTGTCAGGAAGTGCAGATTGACGTCAGGCATGGGTGCCGCTGATTGGCTAAAGTGGACAGTTGACGCTCTAAGCCAGTCGCTAGTTCCCGGTTCATAAAAATGTTTTACTTTTTTATGAATGGGGAGCTACTGATTGGCTTAGAGTGCCAGCTGACCACTCTAGCAAATCAGCAACACTCTTCCCCAGCGGCACTCTGTGCTTCCTGACACTCAGTAAATAAAAGTGAACACATTACAACGGATATTTCTTTTTACTTGGGGAGATGAGAAGGTCCAGAGTTTCCCTGCCAGGCCCAGGTACCAAAGCCTTATGATGTGGTGTCCAGAATAAAGTGGAGGGTTCACTTCACTTGTCCTTCCTGCTCCAATCTCCTTTTCTTCTCCTTCATTTGACAGTCTTCTTTTTCTTCTGACACCGTCAGGCTTCTTCTGCTCCTTTACCTTTCTGCTAATTTCTGCTTATTGTGCTCCCCCTTCTGCTCCTTTCTCATTCTGATTCCTTTCTGCTCCTTGCAGACCCTTTCTGCTCCTTCTTCTACTTGACCTTTGTGCTCCTTGCTGTCCCTTTCTGCTCCTTCTCCTACTTTACCTTTGTGCTACTTCTGATTCTTTCTGATCCTTTACCTTTGTGCTCCTTCTGTCCCTTTCTGCTCCTTGCAGATCCTTCCTGCCCCTTGCAGACATTTCCTGCTCCTTGCAGACCCTTCCTGCTCATTTCTGTTTCTTCTCCTTTCTGCTCTTTCTCTTACTTTACCTTCCTGCTCCTTGCTGACTATTCATTTAGGCTGCCACCCCATGCCTCGCTTCCCTAATCTATAGGCTGCCCCCCCATGCCTCGCTTCCCTAATCTATAGGCTGCCCCCATGCCTCGCTTCCCTAATCTATAGGCTGCCCCCATGCCTCGCCCCCCTAATCTAGGCTGCCCCCATGCCTTGCTTCCCTAATCTATAGGCTGCCCCCATGCCTCACTCTAATCTATAGGCTGCCCCCCCATGCCTCACTCCTGTAATCTATAGGCTTTCTCCCCCCAATGCCTCACTTACCTGACATGTAGACTGTCTCTGTTGCCTGCATGTGCTTCTCCCCTGCTGTTTCAATCAGCAGAGAGAAGCAGGGATAGATGCAGCTTCCTATCCCTGTCTCTCTCCATACAAAAGGCCACCTACTGGCCAGCACCGGTATTGCAGTTCATTTTAAATCTCACACGAAAAATAGCAGAACAAGCTGAAAAATCCATGTGGGGGCAAGTGCCCCCCCTTACCCCACCTGCGGACACCCATGCTTAGTAGGTTGGTTTGCCAAGAATGCTGTATAAAAATTGTACTTGGAGCTTTCAAAGATGGACACGTCTGTGGCTATGCAGCCCCATATGCATCAGATTGCAACGCACTGGGTGATCTGACACTTTTCTTGGCCAACATAAAGATGTTCAGCAATTTGAGCTACAGTAGCAAGCCTTCCCTCCCCACGTGCATCAATGAGCCTTGGGTGACCATTACCCTGAACCATGGTTCATCGTTTGTACTTTCTAGCAGCACTTTCAGTAGGTACTAACCACTGCATACTGAGAACACCCCACAAGACTTGTGTCAGGGGTGGCGGTCCGGTCACCAGGACCCAGTATGCCTGATTTTGATAGTAGGAGTCACTGTGTGGAAATGGATTATCAGGGCAACCACACGCCCCCTGGTGTTGAGCACCAGCGTTTGTGCGGCTACATACCAGAACCCTGATGCAGCTTCTGCGGATCCCAGGTGCCAGATGACAATATGCAGACCTCCAGGAACTGGATTAGGAGGCTGGAAGCAGACATGTATTCAGTACAGAAACAAGGCAAGACTAGAATAAACACAAAACAAGAAAACAAAACAAAACTAGGAGAAACCAGAACTGGAGCAGGACAGAAAGCAGAACCCAGAACATGTACACAATGCATGAGGGAAACATGAACAGGGCAGGACAGGACTGTACATGAACTGGGAATACAAGACAAAATAAAACAAGACAAGAGATACTAGGCAAAACAAGAGGAGACATAACTAAGTACTATATATATAAAACATTGGAGATTTAGACATACATAAATAGCCAAGATGTATGCAGCCCACAACTGCGCCAAAGTACCCCAATTACAGTGGGTCCTAGACTGCCTAGGTATGCATGACTAAATAAACAATAATAAAACACACACAACACTTACCTGCAAGAAAGGGGCAGAGGACTTGGAACAACTGCATGCAGGAACCAACTGAAGCAAAAGGATTAATGGAAAAGGAACAGGTGTGGCAACATAAAACAAACATATAAAGGAATCCAAGAGACTGGGAATTCCAGGAACGGAATAAAGGAATGAATCCAGAAAACCCAGCATAAAGAAAACTAGACATGGAATAGAAAACCAGAAAAACAGGAGCACTGCCACAAAACAGGAATCGGAATAAGAACCGGAACCAGGAACCAAGCATCACACGAGGACACCTGCAGAGACCACCGAACTGCTTAGCAAAAAGACCTCCTCCAAGACAGGAATCAGACAATCTGAACAGGAATGAGGAAGTCATCTCCAGCAGACTGGTTCAGATACAGGAACTCTTGTACGCTAAATAATCCAGACAGGGCAGATCAGGAAAGCTGCAGAGTCCACTCCACGAACTCCATAAGAGCCTACGGCCATACTGTCAGGGGTGGTGGTCCGGTGACCGGGACCCAGTATGCCTGATCTTGATAGCAGTTGTCACTGTGTGGAAATTGATTATCAGGGCCTGATGCAGGGTAAAGAAAACCAGACATGCAATAGAAAACCAGAAAACCAAGAAAAACTAAACAAGAATTGTAAAAAAAGAGTACTGGATACCAGAAGCCAAGGCCAGACAACTCCGCAGAACAGAGCTTGATGTGACAACTTGCCATTTTGGAGATGCTCTGGCAAAGTCATTCTGCCATCACTATTTGGTTCTTGTCAAACTCACTCAGGTCTTTTCACTTGCCCATTTTCCCTGCCTCCAAGACATGAAATTTAACAACTGACTGTTCAGTTGTTGCCTAACATATACCATTCTTTGACAGGTGCCTTTGTAACAATGTAATCAATGTGATTCACTTGATCAGTGAGCGGTTTTAATGTTGTGGCTGATCGGTGTATATTAACCTGGAATGTTAATCTTAAGGAATGTTAGTCTCTCATAAGAATATTAATTTGGATGAGAATATGGAGACATTTTATTCATTGTTTATAACAGTAGGTTATTATATCTCAGATGCAGATTGTGTAAATAGAATCTTAATTACTGATTTATAGATTCTAATGAAATCTTAAAATATTATCTCCCAAACTGTTAGACATATAGACAAATAAAACATGTATTTCTAAGTAGTACACAGCTGTTGAGCTACCATATATTGTCTTTCTAGGTCAGCTATGCCTTTTGGTGGATATGACAAAGCAGCAAAGTTGATGACTTTTCAGATGCCAGAGTTTGATGCTGGGCCCGTAGAACCAGAACCAGAAATTGTCTTCAATGCAGCTGTTGCCAACAGACCGTCCTTTAACAGGACACCAGTTGGATGGTTGGGATCTGGTGAAGGCACAAACTACAATATTGATGTGCCTGTGCCACTGGATGGGGAAACGGAAGAACTCTAAGCTTATGCCTCTCGAAATGTGTAGCCTATAGGTGTTGTACATCAAAAACACATTGTCATTTCTTCTGAAAAATCTGTGATATGTTGTTGTATTGCACTGTATTTTGACACCCAATCAGCCAATGGCACAGGTCACATCTAACAGTGTATATGCCACACAATAATGTGCCTTATTTAAAAAGAAGCCAGGCTTTCTCTTGTATGTTGAAAAAAATAAAATGTAGCTTCTTGTGATGGTTTGTATTTGAATGCAGGTAGAGATGAAACAGAATGGTGACTAATAAAAGATGTGGCAAAGCAGAGGAAGGGAAAGAAAGCTATTTGTTTTGTGCACTGTGGCATAAAAAATAAAAATATAAAGGACAATTATTAAACATGTAACCATAAAAACACTGCTCTACACTAAATATTTTTCATTAGTGTCTTAATTAAACTGAATAAACAGATACAGAATTAAATATGTTATTGTGTTTTTGAAAATGAATATAGCTAAAAAAACAAATCGATATTTTGCAAAAAATGTGCGATATGTTAAAAAAAAAAAAAAATTGATAAATTAAAAGTGCCCACTACAATCCATTGTAGTTGTTATGGCTCTAGCAGGCTACTAGAGCCATTTCCTCCTCTGTGTCAAACAAACCGAGGGTCTTCAGGTAACACTGCCACAGTAGCAATGTTAAGTTCATTCCACAATTCAACAGCACTGATTGACTTAGCTTGTCTGCTAATGTTCTTACACAATCAATGCTGTCAAAATTTAGATAAAATTTACACGGCTATGCAGAACTATAACTTACACAGTAGCGAAGTGGTGAACGAGGGGCTAGGACTTGGACACTTGGGGAATCCAACATTTTTGGCCTTGAAATAATATTGTTGGAAATGTTTTTTAATTATTTAATATTTTTGTATAGACCTTTAAAATTATTTAATATCATGAAAAATATAGAAATTTGGTAACATTATTATTATTTTGTGATATGTTGATGTTTTTCAGATATGGTAGATGTTTTGATATTTTTATATTTTAAAAAAATATTTGAAAAGTTTATCCAAAATATGAAATAATTTTGAAAGCTTATTCAACAATATTAAATCATGGTCTTTGTGTCAAACTGCTTGAAAACAGTTCGATACAGAACCGGAGGACAGTGCCAGTGCCCTGCTAGCACCATCATGACAACGGACTGCAGTGGTTATGGTACTCACAGTATCCCTCTAATTAATCTGTAATATTTCTTTTGAGCAATAGCATTAATCACCTAATACTGTAAAAATCTTTTTATTTTTTTCTAGAATCAGATTTTTATGTACATGTAGTTTATATTAATACCATGGGCTTTGCTGCTTATTGTCTCTGCTTTGTAACTTGATTGAAGTGTCAGCTATCAGCCAAGTTGTACTTAGTGTGTTGTGAGAAAAAGAAAAAGGGATGTAAGCACTAATTTATATTTAATCTTGCTGGATCCTAAAATCGGTGAAAAGTTTAAATATTCCCTACATTAGTAAAAACAATAGTACAAACAACAGGTTATGCCAATAAAAAATAAAAAAATACTAAAACAACTGTCAAGTAGGAAGGTGGGTGCCTGGCATGCCTGCTATCCACATATACACCGAATGAGGACGGAATTAGAAGGCCATTAGAAGAATTTTCTATTTCTATACTATTTTATTGTATATTTTTTATTGTATTTTATTTATTCTATAGTATCTACTTTTTTCACTTTTTAAATTTTAATTATTTGTTTTATTAGTCTTTTTTTTTATATTGGCGCAACCTGTTGTTTGTACTATTTGTTTACTTCTTGTTTGGGCTTGGAGGGGTCCCCAGTTTCAGAGTTTGCATGCCTTTGGTCTACTTGCACTACTAGAACTTCCAGCGCTTTACCTTTCTTTTGCTATTAATAATACAATGACATGAACAGACAACAGACAAGTGTCATATACAAAAAATTAGGAGAATGACTTTATCTTGCAAAAATAGAAAAATACATTCAATTTCAAGGGGCACTTCCATAACCACAACATAGCACTTCAGTGAGATCTGACAAAAACTAAGGCCACATGCTTTCTCATTATCAAGTGTACATTTTCCAACCATGGATGGCAATAATAGGCTGAGAGCACTAGGGATGGTTTGCCCAGTGATCTCATCCTATCATTTACAACCAAGCTTGACTGATTTGCTCTTGATAATATAAGTTTAATTTCAGCATTATCAGTGAGGCTAAATATGGGGTGGTATTTGGGTGCAGGGGACACCTTGCTCTTTGTATAACCATTCTAAAAGGATCTGACAAAAAACACAGGGGATGCCACCCATGAACACAGCTGTTTATCGCCTTAAAGTGCCCCTAAAGGGTAAAAATTTTTTATAAGATAAGAAACATTTGTTTTTTTAATATGTGTTAAAGGCTGATACAGAATGGACTCAGTCAGTGAAATGGCCATTTTTTTCATGTAAAACAGTATACCAGATCTGCAGTAGTTACATTCTCATGAAATAATTTGATGTAAAATATGAAAATAACTGAATCCACAATCTGCTTTCACATTGAATCAAACAGGGTTCAATCATGTTAAAAACGCACTGTATATTATATAACATATGTTTCTTCAAAGTTCTAATCAAATTTTAAAGACGATTTGCTTCCAAAAAAAGATGGAACTTTATAGTACACTTGTCACAAACAATACAAGTCAAAATGTAATCTATTCATTGTGCTATAAATTATTACACTTTTTTTAACCTTTTCAGTCTTTTGTCGCCATACAATTTGGCTTTTCAGAAAAGACTGCAAACATTGACATCAGGACTCCATACACGGTTATTCACTAAAATGATAATTATTGGGAATTCAACGTGAATTTCAATTTTAAAAGCTCTGTCATCATCGGCCCTTGACTAATTTGCAAAGACCCTTGTCGGTGACACCAGTATTTAGGGTCTGTGGCAGGTTTGTAAGGAAAGGTGAATTTTACTTACCTAAAACTGTCCCTCACGGGTGCCACCATCCACTTCAGCTGTCAGGAACCGAGGTCAGGGCTGTACTTTTAATTATGTGCAAGAGTACAGGATTGAGGTCTATGGAGGATCCCGTGGGAGATGAGAGCTTCATTACCTTACATCCATCACTGCTGATGTCTGGGGGAAATGAGAAGGCTTGATGGCAGTAGCTCTGCATTGTGTCAAGCTTTGTCAAGTGTGGGAAAAATAGTGAGACAAAGCAGTCAGTACTTTGTCTCAGTATATCGTTTAACTGGGTTAAACTATAAGTGAAATTCCAACACAGTTAATCTGAGTATTTCATAAACTTCCTGTGTTTATGAAATACTTGTTTTGGAGGGAAGCATGGGGGTACACATGCAGCGGGGTCCATCGGGTGGCCTTTGTGCTAAGGGCCACCCAATGTGTATTGCTCAACAGGGGCCTAGCTGTGCGCTGCGGCCCTTAAACAGTGTGACCAGCCCCCTTTCACATCAGCAGCAGTGGGAAAAAGTGAGAGACAGTCAGTTCCTATAAGTGTCGGTGTGTATCTGTGTAAATGTCAGTATGAGTTTATGTCAGTGTGTGTACATGTCAATGTCCGTATTTGTGTGTCAGTGTGTGTATATGTGCATCTGTGTGTTAGTATGTGTTTATGTGTTAGTGTGTCAAGTTATGTGCATGTCAACGTGTGTGTATGTGTCAGTGTGTACCTGTGTGTTACTGTGTGTTACTGTGTGTATATGTCAGTGTGTCTGGGTATGTGTATGCATCAGTGTTAGGGTGTGTGTATGTGTCAGTGTGCATCTGTGTGTCAGGGTGTGTGTATGTGTCAGTGTGCATCTGTGTGTCAGGTTGTGTGTATGTGTCAGTGTGAGTATCTGTGTGTCACTGTGTGTATGTGTCAGTGTGAGTATCTGTGTGTCACTGTGTGTATGTGTCAGTGTGAGTATCTGTGTGTCACTGTGTGTATGTGTCAGTGTGAGTATCTGTGTGTCACTGTGTGTATGTGTCAGTGTGAGTATCTGTGTGTCCATGTGTGTGTCCGTATGTATCTGTGTTTCAGGTTGTGTATGGGTCAGTGAGTGTACCTGTTTCAGTGTGTTATCTATGTGTGTGTATTAGTCAAGGTGTATCTGAATTTGTGTATGTGTCATTGTATTTATATGTATGTGCATATATTCCAGCAATTAAACACCAACACAGCATGCAAACACACCCCTGCAAACAAACACACCTATGCATTCAACTCCAAAATTATATACCAATACCTATACTACTTAAAAATGTACACCTGTATTTAGAAGGCATTACATACAAACTGTCATGATCTTGGTCAGGTCAGGTAGGAGACGATTGCCAGGGTTAACTTTAGGATCTTTATTGATTGATTTGGACATTATAGAATAAACAGGAAACTGAAATTACAGGTAGAAACTATGCTATGTAATAAAGGATTTAGACAATAAACCCCAGAGTGGATATAAAGTAACAGGTAAACCTATAAAAGAAATTATAGGTAGGAGATTGAAGAAGAACCTATCATTATTAAATTATTGGGGAGAAGGCAATATTGCCTCAGAACAGGATATAAAGAGACAGTGTAACCTATAAGAGAGATACGTAAAGCAAGAGAAGGAAAACTTATTGAAATAATAGGATACTGGTAAAAAAAAAATTGTGAGGGAGGCCACTAGAGGCAAATATTCGTCACTGCAGGAACCAATTTAAGAAAAATTAATAAAGTTCAGAATTTCAATTTTTGGATCCTGACACAAACACACTGCTAAACTAAAATGCAAACTTTAGATGAACACACCCCCCTGTATTAAAACTGTAAAATTATATACAAACACCCCTTCATTCAAACACTAACACTACACACAAAAGCACACCTAAATTTTAAAGCAAACACTACGTACAAACACACCTCTGCATTCAAATGCAAACACTACTCACATGTACAACACTGCATTCCAATGGCATCAGTACATACAAATACACATCCACACACATACTCTATACAAAAACATACTTAAATTCAAACACACTAACACTGCTCACAAATACAGTCCCGCAAAGATGGGTAAATGGTAGATCCACAGCTGGCGTAGCATTCTAGTAGTTGTGCAACAGATGGGGATCTACCTTTTTGCCACTCTTGTATGAGCGGGTTGCCCAAAAAAAGTATGGCACCAGGGCCTTCAATACATTAGGACAATATAAACATTTCTATGGTAACCTGCTCATTAACAGGACTGTACAAATCACAAGAGTTTAACCACTGAGACTAGACACAAAGAGATTTTGTCTTAGATAGTGTAAAGTTTTATTGACAGTAATATGTTCTTACTACTACATTCTATATACGTCAGTTTTGGCACACCTCAACCGACTTTTTCCTATCACAGGTTTGCTAACAACAATCTTACTTCATATCATAATCAATGTTGCCCTGAACACAAATTGGAAAGCTTGGCCTGAAGTTACTCCCCCCTTCCCTACCCTGCCGTGATTGGTCTGACGAGCTGCTGCCCCACCCTCCACTCCCTTTATTCACCATACTCTTCTAGTGTAGGCTCACTTTATTTACTGGCCTACATCAGACATTGGTTTCGGCACACCTCAACCGACTTTTTCCCATCACAGGTTTGCTAACAACAATCTTACTTCATTTCATAATCAATGTTGCCCCGAACACAAATATTCTACATACATGCAACACATACATTCTATAAGTTGGATTGCCATATTTAATGATACCAAATAGGGAGCTTTCTACTAAACTCAACTCCCTTCCTAATTCTTCCTTAAAGCGGCACTGTCATGCCGAACTTACCTTTCCCTAATCGCTTCCTTTCTCAGGATCTGTTCATTTCTTCCTGTCTGCTCTAGTTTTCTTTAAAACATAGGATGAAGTAGGGACTATTTTATCTTATGTATATTTCCTACTCCTGACCAGCTATGACCAGCAGAGGAGCAAAGTGTGCTCCATTTCCTGTGGTCAGAGCAATTTCCCGCAATGCTCACGTTTCCTCTGTGATCTCCCGAACCTACTGTCATTTAAACAGACGCCGGGGAAACTACAAAATTTCGCCCTAACAGAATGAGAACAGTTGTTCATTTATGTTAGGACGGCATTCGGTACTTTTAGGTCAGTTCGAAATTTCATTCTAATGAATTAAATTCCGATCCGTGCAGTGGCTGCATCTTGCAGCCGCTTAGTAGATAGCTCCCTAACTCCCACAGTATCAGGGAACGAGCTACCAAAAGGCTGAAAGACCAAGATTGGTCGTTCAGCCAACTTTACTAATACTAAGGAAAGGTTAATCCGCCCCTACTCGCTATATCGGCTGCTCACTGTTAAATAAAATAAAGTTAAATAAAGCACCCCCCCCCCAATAAATGGTCCCATGGTGGGGCATCTCTTAACAAGCGTGGGGAGCACATAGTGTCTTCTCCGAGCCCTTACCCATGCTCCACTAGTGGGGGCTATTCAATTAAACGGGGGACATCATAGTGTGGGGTGCCCTAAAAGACCATGGGGGTGAGGGGCCTATTGCCCCCCCTCGGCGCCCACCCATAATTTTTAGAGTGAGGGAGGTAGGTAGGTTTAATTAAAAATTTTTGGGAAGGGGGTGACTAAGAACTTGGGGATTCCTTGTCACCCTGGGGGGTATTTTTACATTTAGCCCCCACCCGTCACCCATAGGTGGGGGGAGACAATAGGCCCACTCCCTATGGTCTTTTACGGCCCCCACCTGCTGCTCATGGATGGGGGCTGGGGTCCCCCCCTCTTGTCTTTTAGGGCTCCCACCTGCCGCTCATGGGTGGGGGCCAGGGGGAGGACAATAGGTTCCCCCCTATTGTCTTTTAGGGCCCCATATCGTGAGAGAGGACATGGGGGCTTAGGAAGTGATGGGGAGCACAGCTCCCTGACGCTTCTATTTTTACATATTACAAGGAGGGAGCTGTGAGCCAGTAGCTCCCTCCTTGTAATAAACTGAATGAACGAACAAACAAACACCGATGGTGTTTGTTCGTCTGAAATTTCTATTCATTCCTTCGTCTTTCTGACGAATGAATATACGAAATTCCCATCCAATTTTTGGACAATAGCGAATGCCCAAGTGTTTAACTGGGCATGCGTGGGAATTTCACAGCGCTATCTAGTGTGGGCAGATGACATGTCCCACAGGGACCTCATCTGCCCACACAAAGATGGCCTTTGGGCATGAAATGAAGATTAAAAAATAGGTAATATGGGGGGGTTTAGGGGCATTTGAGAGTGACTAGGGGGCAATTAGAGGTAGTGGAGTCAGGACGGGGGTTAAAAAAAAAAAAAACTGGATTCTGCCATGACAGTGCCATTTTAAATATGGCAATCACATACATGCAGGTAAAATGTATGTGCTATATACACTATATGGACAAATCTGTTGGGACACCGGACCATTGCACCAACAGATACATTTGTGACATTGCATTCTAAATACATAAATGTCAACATGTAGTTGGTCTCTCCTTTGCAGCTCCAACAGCTTCTACTCTTCTGGTAAGGTTTTCCTCAAGATTTTGGAGGGCTTCTGTGGAAATTTATGCCCATTCATCCAGTAGAGCATATGTGTCAGGCACCGGTGTTAGATGAAAGACCTGGCTTGCAATCTCCACTACAGGTCTTCCGAAAGGTGTTCGATGAGGTTGAGGTCAGGGTTTTGTGCGAGTTAGTCAAGTTCTTACACAACATACTCATCCATCCAAGTTTTTAGGTACCTTGCTTTATGCACTGCGGCACAGTCATTCTGGAATAAAAAAGGGCCTTCCTCAAACTGTTCCTAAAAAGTGGGAAGCATAGCATTGTCCAAAATGTCTAGATATGCTGAAGCATTAAGATTTCCCTTCACTGGAAGTAAGGGGCCTAACCCAATCCTTGAAAAACAGCCCCATACCCACTATGGAAAGAAGGCAAGCAGGCAGAGGCAGTGTTATGCTCTGGGCAATGTTCTGCGGGGAAACCTTAGGTGCTGGCATTCATGTAGGTGTTACTTCGACATGTACCACCTACCTAGAGATCATTGCAGGCCACATACACCCTTTCATGGGAAAGGTTTTCCAGTGGGACATGCTGAAACAACAGATAAGATCCAAGGAAGCCCCACCTCGCAACTTGCAGAACTTACAGGATCTACCGCTAATATCTTTTGTGGACTCCATGCCTCGATACATCATAGCTGTTTCGGCAGCACAAGGTGGGCCTAAATGATGTTAGGCAGGTGGGTTTAATGTTGTAGCTGATCATTGTATCTATATATTCATAACACAGCAAGAGCAAACATTTTTCAAGATTTGTTCAGCGTATCTACCTACATAAGGTAATTATCTAAATAATGCATCATTGTCTAGGAAATAAAGAATGCAGATTTCAAATGGAAGTTTGATTTAATTAATTAAATGATAAAAAGATGAAATACAGAACATTTAGTTTTATAAGAATACCAGCTGCCATGGTATTTTAGTTACCCTAACAACAAGTTGCCTGGGAAAACAAAGCTCAAGGTACTAGAGAATATTACTAAGGATGTTCTGAAAATTATGCACCTTGTTTTCATATTTAGCTGAAATTGGATAGAAATTGTTTTTACATTTTCTTGTCATCATTCAGGAGTGGTGATTTAGTATGGTCTCTCTTTGGTTACAGCCAAGTACACCATTACCCTGAAGAATCTAGGCTACAGCCTTATCATTAAATCTAGACACTAGGTCTAACCACACGACCATAAAAAAAGGAATTTGGGGGGGCACACATAGAACGTGCATTTCTTTATCAAACAGCCAGACAAGTATATGACCTCACCAGGAATATATGTGAGAATAAAATCCTCAGATTAGAAGAGACAATAACCGCAGTTTTATGATAATACTCAACTGGAAGGACAGGCCCCCAGTAGAAACCAGAGTATAAAGAAAAAAAATATTAGATGAAATCTTATAGGTACCAGGAGTAGTTATGGTGTACGAGATGTTCCTTTAAGAGATATAAAAATCAATGATTTGTATTATAATAGTCCCAGTATAAAAATATAATAGTTGTATATAAATAGTTGTCTTTAGAACGATATCACCACATGCATATGAAACTTTGTTGCAATAGATACCATTTTAAGTGTCTGCCTGTATCAGGAAAATCCAGCTATGTACACAGCTGGGGTTACTATGTTAAAGGACCACTATAGGCACCCAAACCACTTCAGCTTAATGAAGTAGTCTGGGTGCCAGGTCCAGCTAGGTTTAACCCTTTCTTCTATAACCATAGCAGTTTCAGAGAAACCATAGCAGTTTCAGAGTTTCAGAGAAACTGCTATGTTTATAATAGGGTTAATCCAGCCTCTGGTGGCTGTCTCATTGACAGCCGCTAGAGGGCTTCCGAGCTTCTCACTGTGATTTTCATTGTGAATGCTTTCCTATGAGACTGGCTGAATGCGCGCACGGCTCTTGCCGTGCATGCGCATTCAGCCGAGGAGGCGGAGAGGAGGAGGAGAGACCCGGAGACCCCAGAGCCCGGCGGGAGGGGGACCGTTAGGGTGGGGACACCCTCAGGGCACTATAGTGCCAGTAAAACGAGTATGTTTTCCTGGCACTATAGTGATCCTTTAAACAGGCTATTTAATATAATACTAACAGTGAATTCTTTAACTGTAGTTGATCCAAAATATATTGTACAATGCTAGGAATAAACTGACTTAAAGATTATATATATTGGCCTCAAGTACCGAAATCCTCACGCCGTTCTACAAAACAGTAATATGGGAAACCATAGTGCTCACTATTTACTATAGATTTATTGAATAATAGTAGATTAAAAACACTCACAATTTAGAAGATAAAAGCGACCGTATTGAGAATGCTGTGGTAAGAGGCTATTTGTGGCTGGCAAGTTCCTTCAATCCAGCCGGCTTGGAGATAGTTAGAATGGTACAAACTCGTTCCACTGCTCTCTCCTCCTGCGTTCCACTACAACTCGGCAGTCAAGCGATTTGATATCATATGCCGAAGAAGGCCTTACACGTTTCGTGAGTTCAAACTCACTTCATTAGAGGCTGACATCTGTACGGAGTCTCTGTGTTTAAATAGCTGATATAATAGCCACTTAGTCACAAACACTGGCCAAAGTTAGCGTTCATATTTGTGTGTGAAAAAAGTTTAAAACTAAATTGAA